GTTTATTGGCCTAAAAGGCTGGATGAGTCATTCACAATCACTCCGTTAGACAATATCTAAGCATGAATACTTTGACCTTACGCCCCATATTGTGTGTGTGTGTGTGCAGCATTGTTTTGTTTGTGTGGGGGTGCTATAGTGACAGGAACAGTACAAACAGTACAGATTTGAATGTACGTCAGTCCCACCAAGCTGTTAAACAAAGATCCAAATAATGTCATTAATATTCATGCACCTGTGATATAACATGACTCTCAGAGCTTTGAGTGCATCCACAGAGACACGCGAGCATCTCCGGTCTGCCTGCAGGAGTGCTCGGATCAGGTGGTAAAGTGACTAAGTGAGGCTGGATGTATTATATGTAGCGATGCAGATATCAGTTTATGTGGAAGTCAAGCAGATGCAAACAGCTGATGTTTCTAAATATTTTAACTGAATAAAACTGGTTGAGATGCTCCGTGTTTTGGTTTATCCAGAAGTGTGATCACTGTGTTTGTTTCGTATAAGGTCTGGTTATGAAATAAGGGAGGAGAAAGCAGGGTGAGTGGTTTATTTTAAGGCCAAAAGTAACATAATTCAGTTTATTTGATTTTTCCTGTTTAAGTCCATCATAATTACAAGAGGGTCTACTGTTACCCTCTGTTGTTGATTTAGAAAAGCTTCCTTTAGTAAAAACGCTTGGGCTCCCTTTTGCAAGTCAAGGAATGTCAGTTTAATCAAAGTAGCCCAGATTTTAAGAGGTTTGTCTAAGAACATGTTCCCAAAGGAAAGGAAAATTCAAAATAAGATCTCTTCTTTGTTCAGTCTGTTTCTCTGCGTTTAATTTGACATCAAAATGACATTCAGGGCATTTTCCTTCCTTCTTTTATCTGAAATAATTAATCAGCAGCGCTTTAGATAACAGTACGATTCAAAGGAAGCTTGACTGGCTTGTGCATCAGTATCAGAAATTTGACTCAGTGATGGAATTAAAGGCTCAGCTTTGTTCTCAGAGTTCTTAGATCTACATCTGAACGTCAGATTGTC